TTACGTTGCGAGTCGTAGTCAAGAAATTATTGCCTTCACACTCTTTCTCTCGCTAAATTCTAAAGTCCGCAGGGTGCTTAATATGGTGAAGTAGATTATTTTCTATATACTGGCGCTAAGGCATATGAAGCTGAGACTATATGGCTCATCCTTACTAACACGAATAGTTCAAAACTCCACTGAATCAATAGGTACTCGAATTCATCTTCGGTTGTTGTATTTCTCCACCAAAAGAAAAAAATAACACGACACTTACTACTAACTTATTAAATAATTTCTTTCTGTTCGTATGAAATTGACAATAATTTTTTCTGAAAAAGAAAATGTAACAATGAGAGCAAAAAATATTTCTTCCGGTATTGAGAATGTAAGAACGATAATAGACAAGTTTTCTCTACGTAAAAAACTCAAGTAAAAAGAAATACATTTTTTTCAGGAAGGACAGTATAGGAATGGCAGCAGGAAAAACACATTTGCCAATGAGAATACAGGAATGATGATAGACAAGTTTGTTTTCTGGGAAAGAGCCTGTGAGTATAGGAATAAATAAGTTTTTTTCTGGAAAGAAAATGCACAAATGAGTAAAAAAAGATTCTTTCAACAAGAAGAATATAATTATGATGATGAACAAGTTATTTCTGGGAAAAAAGTGCAGCAACACAAACAAAAAACAATTTTTTCAGGATATATAATGTCGGAATGGCAGTAACCTATGTTCACAGAAAATGCCTGTATGTTTTGCTAACTTTCTACAACTAAAAACACAAGAAATCCTTGCAAGATCTTTGTCGAATTCTCAAGGATATAGAACGGAGATACAAACGAGGTGTCATAGGAAATACCACTGATTTTTTTAAATTGATTAGACTCTTCGCGTCATACACATTTTGACATTGTAATTAAAAGCTGGATAGAAAAGTGTTCAATTTAAAGCACAATTTGCTTGATTTATCTTGTTACGATAGCTAAGATGTTCGTGCAGATTATTTTAACTTATAAGAAATTAAAGACTCAGATTTGGTTGGGTCATTTTCTGTGTTAGATGAGCCACTTTATTTTCGCGTATAAGTTCGCTTCCTCTTATGATTCTACTATATTCAGATAGTTCTTGAAAAACTACACATACTACGTTCAGATAGAATTTGCAAAAATACAGGTATTATGTCCAGATAGATTTTTGGGAAACTGGATGTTACATCCAGATAGACCTTTAAAAAATTACAAATAGTACGCCCATGTAGACCTTGAAAGATCATCGTGATGACGGAAGAAGGGCAGTAAGTAGGTTGGATGACGGCAAAGGTAGGACTGTAGTATGATCAATTAGTTTTTCCTATACGAAGTGAGCGACATTTCTTTGGTTCACATGTTTGGCCCGCTTCTAATGACCGATATTTATGTAATTTTTCGATTATTTTTAATGATATGTCATCTAAATGAACATGAGTTTGATTTCAAGTCACTGCCACAAACCGAAAGCTCCCAATTGGATATATTTCTTCTCTGTTCTATTCATTCTCATCATTTTTATCTCAATTAGTAAAATGTTTTTCGTCCGTATATAACTACAGATTATTTATGAAATAGATGGCAAAGTCTAGAAACACCAGAGCAATCGAGTTTATCACTAGAAGCCCCTAAATAAAAAAAATGTTTAATTGAAACTTCAAACTTTTCTGATATTAGTTAATTTATAGTTTCTCTTGTATTTCGATTCAAGCATTATCTCAGAAAACTAGCAATTAATAAACAAAAAATTATATTCTGTTGCTATGTATTATGAGATTACTTAATAATTAATAGTGTAAAGATTATCGATAGTAGAAATTAGAATAAATATGTAGACTATATTCAAGTAATACGCAATATTTCAGATATTTATTTAGTACTGTAATTTATGCTATATGTTTAAGAAAAATGTATATTCACGATCAGTTTAGGATATACTCTTGCTTCTCTTAACATTACCAGTTATGTTGCTTGAAAAATAAAACTATTTCTTACCGTGTAATGTCTCGCAGAAAATAAAACAGTAAAATGTTCTATAATTCACCTTTACAGCTTTGCTTTTCGAAAAGGAGATATATTTGTTTTTTTGGTTGTTAAAAAAATAAAAACCTTTTATTGACTCACTTCTATTGCAATGACGAAGTTGGCAAAATTCATCTAACAAGCAAGGAAGAAAAAGAAAGAAAAAAAATCTCCAGGTAATAGTAGTTAGCTGTTACCATCGTTCTGAGGATGTGAATGTGGGTATGAGCAATGTTGCGAATAAAATATAAAAACTATATCCTCATATTCCCTTCAAACCTAATATCCAGCCGAATGAAGAATTCGATTGAGCAACGGATCACTTAGATCAACGAAAATAATAAGTTGATGAAATATGAATCACAAATCAATTTAAACATAGCATTATCAGACAATCCACAATGCAAAAGAGAAAATGAAACGACCTAGTATAGTACAATTATAAGATCATTATGTATATATATGTATAAATTAAAAATAAATATTGTATAATAAATATCATGTCAAATTAATAATACACTCAGTTTTTTTATTTGCATTTTTAGATCGAGAAATTTCTTTTTATTTAGAAATAATCGAAAAAATGAAAACATTTATTTCAGTTTATAAATTCATATAGATCGATATTATTATCGAAGTTTAATTATTATACATGAATCTTTGGAATAAGCAAATGTTGACTAGAACGAAATTTTTTTCAAGATTATTTAGTTTCAATGAACAGGATGGTCGTGAATGTGGGTGTGAATATTATGTTCATCTCACACCCATACTCAGATCCACACTCATACCCTTACCCACATCCACCCCACCCTCAAGATCAAACTTATAAACATGTATCGTAGTGTAAAAATAAAATACAAACTCGAAACATATATTTGAAAAAATTCAGTTTAATTGTCATAGAATTCTAGATCAAAGATAAAATCTCTCCATATTCGTTTTATTCTAAAAAAATTCTAATAGGACTTATCAATTTTATAAGTATTGATCATTCACAAATATTATTGACAAATATTATTCTTTCCTCCAAAGAAAACCTTAGAAATTAATTGAATTTCAGCAGAATATACAACTATAAGAAACAAGTGTATCAACAGAATCTTCAAAATTCTAGCATGCCAACATATATAATTCAATTTGAATTGATGAAAAATGAACTACATATATTTAATACTCTGCTACAAAGATTCTACAAAGAAATTATAATGCGATCAGCAAAATTCATAACACAATAAGCTTTATGAAGAAATCTACTCGTTAATATTAACAAAAATTACATCCTTTCAAAACTGATATTAATAGGTACATTATACGTCTATCTTGATAATCAAATATTTCGTTGGGAAGTTTTTTTTTTGAAGATAATTTTTCATGATACAAGGTAATGAATAAGTCACGTGTATAGGTTACATTATTATGATGAAATGATGACACACGAGAAAAATAGTACAAAGATCAAGAAAAAAGTATAATATATATTACTACGAAATATTTTATCTATCCTACAGTATTTCTACCTTTCGAATTGTATCATTGGATTTTTTGAGAGATAACTTTAGGTAGAATAATATATTTTTAGTTGATAATCAATTTGAATGATCGAACTCTATTTTTATTTTAATTCGAAGCATATATAATCATCAATAAACATTTATTTAACTGATTAATTTTGAAATAAATGTTAGTAAGTACTGATTAGTACCCAATTTTTCTATTATTAGCTGCAAACGATTTTGCGATTATTACACAAACGAAAAAAAATGCTTTTATTGTTACAAGGCTATGTCCATGATGACGTACAATAAATCTATGTATTTTTTTCTCTCTTTTATCTTCTATAGTCTTATGATATTCATGTAGCGAAATTACTCCTTGTTGGTATAAAATACATATGATTGGTAATAGATAGAGGTAGAAACGAAAGATTAAACCAAACCAGTTATGACTAATTAGTGTATATATATATGAAAAGAAAAAAACTTCGATAGAATAAAAATATATCAAGCGTAAATACGTATATTTATCGTTTATTGATCAAACAACGGCCTCGAAATTAATGCTTATATACATACGAGTCAGTAAATTTGTGAGCATCATCAAATATATATCCTACTGATCGTCATTCAATTCTTTTATTTTGATATACTAAGAATAAATATTATATTGTTTATATTTATTATAGATTCAATAAAAATGGGAAATAATCTAAAATCTCGTCTTCATATACATAAAAAAGACGATCATTCATCACATGATCATGATCATGATCACGATCATGGTGCACATGCATCAACTCATGGTACAAACGCAGCTCACAATGAAGTTGATGAAAAAATAATGAGTGGTACTAATCGTGCTCGTGCTGCAGATCCACATGCATCAGATACTAGTCGAGGAGCAGTACCCGCACCTTCTCATACTGAACCAGCACAAACAACGACGACTGTAACTCGTGGACGTCCATAAATAACTTCTACATTAAACAATAATTTCTTTTGTTTTTAATCTAATTTTATAATTATATATAAAAATAAAATGCTTTACCACCATTCACATTTCTACATATAGAATATTATGCAAAATTTTTTAATTTGATCAAAAAATAAGATTACGAAACACGCAAACGTAAAGTATCATCATATATATATTTATATGATATTCTCAATCGATTATAAACGATCAACCTTCGATAGATTTTTAACATAAAAAACCAAAAAAGACAATTCAAATTCAATAAATGTTATTTCTATTTCTATATTTTATCAATCGTTACTATAAGATCAAGAGAGAGAGAAAAAGAATATATCAATATTAATTGAGTACTTACTGATAGCTAATGATTTCGTGTCCTTGATAATCGAATGTGTCATCAAAGATACTTTAAATGATCATTTATTATTTTATATATCTAAATCAATATTTAATATGCATTGAATATGAAAATCATTTACTTTATTTGTCATTTCTACATTTTAGAGTCAGTAGATATGGGTAATCGTATATCTCAAAATAATCAACCTTCCTTACGTCATTCATCGAATAAAAAAAATGATCAACAATATTCTAATCGAAATCATCATATGGATTCACATTATACAATAATAAATCAAATATTAAATCAACATTGTAATCATTTCAATCTAAATACAAGCATAGAACAAGCAGCGATGAATATTCATAGAAATGCTTTAAATCTAGCGATGGAACATCATAAACAAATATCTAATATTTGAAATAAAATAAATTTTTCTTTATAAAAGATAAATATAGAAAATTCTTGTAATTTTTACTTGTCTGTTTTTACTGAACATAAAGATATTCGAATATGTTCTGTTATACATCAGATGTGTTCCAAATAGAAAGAGAACAGAATGTTTGTTCTTTAATCTCTATTAATTTATTATACTTCAAAAGAAAATGACTTAATTAGAATTCTTTATACGATGCTATTAATCAGAACAGATAAATGAAAAGAAAATAATAGAATTTTTTCAAACTAGATATTAAGATGAAATTTTACTTGATTCAAATCACACATCATATTTTATTAATATGGATTCATATTCACAATCATATCAATTCTATCCATCATCACCATCTATGTATTCTAATTTCAATACACCATCAAATTCGTATTGTTCGTGTTGTTATTCACCAACTCCTTATTATTATCCGAATCATCATATGCCATCTACACTTCTATTTTCTCCACCAACATCTCCTTTTATTCCTCAAAATACCAAAGTAAGAATAAAAATCATCTTTTCTCAATGACTTATATTCTATCTTTTTAGATTTCTACTCCACCGATTACAATTGAATCTGTACGTACTGAACAATCATCTTCAAAGATTACACGATTACAATATTCAAATAAAGATCGTTATATTTTAAATGAATTATTTAAACGAACACCGTATCCAAATGGTATGATATTTTTTAATTATCCTTGAAATAATCATTATTAATATGTTTTTTTCTAGCTATTCAACGTGATGTCATTGCTCGACAACTTGGCATCACACAAGAACAAATACGTATATGGTTTCAAAATCGTCGACGTCTACAAACACAACGTGATAGCGGCGAACGATTAGCAACATCAAATGAAATCTTAGCTCTTCAACAAGGAAAAACAAATGTAAATTCAACTGATTTAAAGAAACTACTCAATGATGTAACCAAATATAAAGATGCACCACCACGTCTTCGATTAGATGAATCTTCATAATTTTTTTTATAATTAATTTTTTTGTACACTTGTATTTCTTACAGTTAATAAAATATATTTAAAATAAAACTATTGATTTATATAATTCATCGAAATGATTTGTAATCAAACGGTAACCTTCGAACATAAAAAAACAACAGTGAATGTCACCCACTTCTATTATTATCGATAAAATGTGAAAACAAATCGTTTTTTCTTTTTGAACTCTCGGTCTTATTCACACCTTTTTAACATATCATCAAGAGCATATCAAATCTATATTGAAAATGATAGACTTGTCGATTAAAGAAAAAACCTCAAAATATTTAACAATAATATATGCCTAAAGACAAACAAGCTCGATTACCTATTGAGCATATCACTTCGTTAAAAAAATAGTGAATGCACTAATGATCGTTCGACAGCAGGAGGTAAGTATTTGGCTGCCTTCTGTTTGACAGAGACTCCACTCCGTAGGGTATATTTAATTGTTGTTGACTCATCAACGCGTGCCAAGCCTATTTAAATTCTTATCAGTACACTTGCGTAAGCATGAAAAGACATTCTTGGTTGTTCTTTTCTTTTAATTGAATATGAAAAAAAGAAACGAACTACTTTGTTGATTAATAGATTATTCGTTTTTCTTTTTTTGAATGTCGTCATTCATTTTTATTCTATGGGAATGTGAAAGATAATTATGAGCGAGCTTCTTAATCGAACGAACGATGCCAATAATTCACGTGCCATTTACTTTATGTGCAAGAAAAACATACACATACACACACACTAGGATATAAACTATGCACGATTGTCAACGTGGAAACAGATGATTAGATCACCGGGATGTCAATCGCTTTATTTCACTCAATTTATTTATATTATGAATGTCCTCCTATATTTAACTCGTAGCTCGTGTCACCTTAAAAATAATTATTCCTATTGTTATTGTGGGAAAATTATGTTATTAAAATCGATATAGTGAACAACATTAAATTCTTTGATTTAATGAAGACAAGACAAAAAAAGATTTTGACACAGTTATGCTCTATAATTTTGCAAAGATGAGGATGCCGAACTCTTGACGTTGAAGAAAAACGGTGAGTAAGTGTGATAATTGCGGCTTGTTACATTTTATGAGTATATATTTATATAAAGATCAAAAAAGAATATATATATATTCAATTAAAATATGATGATTACGTTTAAAGAGAAGTTTTTTATGATTCTTCATATCTTTGAACTTGAAGAAAAATAGATAAGCAAAAAAGAAGTTTTTCTTTCTCACTATTGAAATATTTGTTTCGTTATATTTTTTTTAACGACAAGGTGTCATGTTCTATTGTCATCATACGGGTCTTCTCTCTTGACCGATGTCCAAAAAAATCGGTTAAATCACTTGAAATATATTCTGTTAATGTTACGGATCATTTTCTGACGGCACGTAATCTCAAGGCGACAACTCAACGAATTAAAAAAATAGTGTGGATGAAAACATATTGTTGTTGTTTGATGATGAGAAGAGTTGGCACATGTAAAAGAAAAAGAAAAAATGACTGAACGTGATATTGTATACACTTCGAAAATAATCAAATGCACAAAGTTAGATTTTTGATTGAACTGTGTGAAATTTAAACTTATGCAACGAATGACACGTTATATATGAAAAAAAAGGAAAAAGATTTTTTTTTGACCGTTAAAAAATAACTTTATTCGAGTTTTGTTATGTTTTTATTTTAATTTCAAAACAAAAATGATGAATGATTATGACAAGCAATTCATCATTTTTTCTTCTTCTCTTTCTATAGATCTATTTTGGCATTTTCAATGAGCCTATCGCGTAATTTTTATATACGCGTGCTGCATACTATAGCTCGATTAGCATGTCTATCAATATATCTATGTACTTGTTTGAAGTGGATAATATTTTTGTTATTGTTAGTTTTTGGTTTATTCATCATCATTAACAATCTATTTACTATTATTGATTTTTTCTTCTTCTCTCTCTTGAGAATAGCTATATCTTTGAAGTAATACGTGTATGAGATTTTAATTTATTATTTTTCTTATGATTTCAAACGATTAAATTCAATCGATATTAAATTTAGAAATGAACTTATTTAGTAGACAAAACAAAACAATTTCATATAGAGAGAGAGACAGGGATCAAACAGTGATAACTAATTAACGATGATCATTATCAACTATAGTCTCAAGTGTATATGTCTTGCAGATAGATGTAAATGATAACGACTAAGTTAACACCTCACTATCAATCTGTAGGAGATTAATTTGTTATATAATAATGAATTATTGATTGAAAATAACACGTATAAAAAAACAAAGAAAATCAATATACGCTACTTTTTTATACAATAACTTATCAGTCAATTATAAATGACTAAACTTTTATTAATATATTATTAAATGATATCCATAAAAAAGATCGTTTTATTCCCAGTGTGGTATGATACACATTTTCTTTTCTTTCTTTCTCCATCTGGCGATACATTGTAGGCTATTTTTAGATATCTGATGACTCATAATATTTATTCTCACTATTATAACTTGTAAATTTATCATGAAATCTCTTTGATTAACTATGTCATAAATTAAATTGATGATAATGTAAAACTAACCAGTAATCATTTTTGTTGTTCATGAGATAACATCATTGAAATTCACTTTTGTTAATCGAAAATTGACTCATTATAGTTTTAAAACGTTTATTTATGATGAAATTTCAGTGACTATTAGGTATATTTGCCATGTCATCTTACATTCGCAATAAGCGTCATACTGGGAAAAAACCCAAGTTCATATATTAGCAATAAAAAGTGTCATCAAATAGAGTATTTCAATGTCCAATAATAATTTTAAGAAGAAGGTATGACACATTTACTTATTCTTTACAATAAATATATGACTGGAGATTTTCCCAGTGGAAGTACTATATATTTCGCTGAATGGATTCCAGTATCTCTCACTTACAACTATCAAACAACAATAATGTTCTCAACCGTTTTACTCTCCGGTCTTAGTATTATAGGTGCTATAATCTATTTTATTCGGTATAAATACAAAAAACAATTAAATATAATCACAAGTGCTGATCAGGCACGCGAAATACTGAAATCTGATCAGTATGTTCGACATATATCAAATGCTTGGCTAATAAATACACTATCAATTGTAAATCCATTTACTATTCATGATAAATCATTGTTAAAAACATTTAAGAATAGAGTTATATTAATATTAGCAAACTGGTATAAGGAAGATAAGTATGAAGAACTTGTTTTCGTAATTGGAAAACGAATAGATTACCATATACCATTATTACAATTAAATAATAGAAAACTTTGTTTATCAAAATTGGTCAAACAAGTCACATTAGATTCATTTCTTACGGGCGTTCTCAATGTCAATGCCAATGATGATTTGCTTACAGAATTACCTGATTTAATTATTCATTTATGGAAAAATCGTGATGATAAAAAAGCTCAAACTCGTTTAAAAGAACTATTTGTAAATAATAATGATCAATTTACTCAGTCTGAAATTTGGCAACAAATTCAAACAATATTATCTAATCATTCAAGTGCCATTTCAAACATGGGAATCAATGATTTTGATGAAAAAATTTCCAACCCATTGAATATTATTGTTCCAGGTTGGGAAACAATGTGGCGAGTAGTATTCTATTCATTACTCGAATTACTTCGACATCCAAAATTATTAGAAGAACTATCATTACAATTAAATGATCAATCAAAATCACCTCAAAATTGTCTCTTACTAGAATGTATTATAAAAGAAACATTAAGATTATATCCACCAACGAAAAATATCTATCGCACACATATACAAACTGGCGAAGAAGTACGCATTGATATACAACATATCCATCATAATAAAAGTGCATGGGGATCTGATGCATGTACTTTTCGACCTGATCGTTTTCAAGAAAAGTTAACTGATGAACAACAAAAACATTATTTACCATTCTCAATTTCTTGTCCAGCTCGACATAAATTTGCTTATATATTTGCTGGTGCTATAATAACTGAAATTATCAAACATTGTCCAACGTTCACTATTGCTGAAGAATCGATATTACCATCAACTGATAAACTATTAGATGTAACCCGTAATTCATATAATGATTTACTGATACTTGTATAATTAGTGTATTTATTTTCTTTTTGTAAATTTTATATGCATAAGGCTGATTTAGAAAAATAAAGAATACAAAAAAAAGAAGTCTTTTATTATCATTTATTTTTTTGTGGTATTTCCCATTGAAAGCCCAAATGTTTCTTTGTTTCATCTACTGATACTTTCTCTTGACTACCAGGCTTTTTCTCTTCTTGTTCCTTGCGTGGCGTTCCAGTTTTTTTATAACCTTGACCAAACTCATCAAATCGTTTCATTTCATCAGCAACAGTCTAAAATAAATTTTTTAAGAAATTTAAATAATAAAAAGTATTGAAAACATACTCGTTGCAATGGAAAGATATTACGACCATTTTCTTCGAGATATGACATAACACGTCCTGTATATTCTTGATATTGTTGTCTTTCATTTTCATTCACTTGTTTCTCGAATTGCATTTCATCTAATTCACTTGCTTTTAGATTACGTTCACGATCTTTTCGTTCTTGCTACAAATCAAATAAAAATATAGATATCATATCCCGTGAATACTACAAAGACAAAACTTCAGTCACATATTGAATGTGGTTTCCTATTCTTCGTTTATGACTGGAACAGGAATTACTCGTGAAATGTTTCGCATAATAACGCAGTAATTATTACATCGATTATATAATTCTTTAGTTCATTAAGCAACAATTATGAACGCTGATTATATTGTATGGGAGTACAAGATATTCTCATATATGAAATAATTTCTATGTTCATTTAGGATGTATCTAAATATCACATGATCTCTATAAACTCTACGATTATATTATTTATATGAAGGGTAGTTTGATAGATTTATCTTATAAGTCATATAACTTACAGCTTGTTTTGATTGAAAGTGAGATACTGCATGAGTATATTCACCACGTTCTCTTTGTTTTTCATGTTGATATAAAAGAAATAATCGATCCGTTTCAGCTTTACGTTTACGTAATTCAGCATCTTCACGTTCTTCCATTTGACGTTCACTTTGATGTCGTTTTAACTAATAATAAATTGATTTTATAATTTAAAATAAGAAACAAAGTTTATTATACTGTTTGTAATCGATGCTTATCAATAGATTTTAACATTTGTTGTCTTTTATCGTATTTTTCTTGCTGTTCACGATATTCTTTAGCTGCTTTTTCAGTCTCAGCGCGAAAAATCTTTGCATCATCATCAGCTTCACCTCGTTTCTGTAATGAACCTAAATAACCAAGTAATCCATCTCGAGCTTCTTGTTTTTCCCTATACAAATCAGAATAATCAATTATCATAATTTAATACTATATTTATTACTGATTAGCTTGTAATTCTTTTTCACGTCTTAATCGAGCAATTCTTTTCTTAACTTCAGCATACACACGAATATCTTCATCTTCTTCCTATAATAATAACATATAAAATTAATTAAAAAAATTAATATTTTTAATTTACTTCATCCATTTGTTCTTCGATTTGTTTAATTCTTTGTTTTTGTTCGATTGATTTATCATACATTTGTTTAACCTCTTGTTTTTTTAATGCTTTCAAACGTTCTAATTCCATATGATCAGCAAGAGATTTCTCAGCTAAACGTTTATATTCATCTCCTTCTTGTTGATCTAATTGTTTCTCTTGAACATATCGACTTTTACGTCGATTAATTCTTTAAAAAAAATACAATTATATTGAAAAAAAAGAAGTAACTATAAACTAACTGTGTCAATTGAAATTGAGCTAAATCCGCTCGTTCCCTAGAAGAAGAAAAAAGACGTTTTATATTTTGAAGAAAAATTAATTTACTTCGCTTTTTTCTCTTTCTTTTCTTTTTCCGCTTTATCGAATTCATGTAAAGTTTCTTGATCACGTCGTAACTCATCATTATCACTTGCAAGACGCATTTCTTCAATACGTGTTTTCATTTCAATTTGTAACTCACGTTCTTTAAGTACTTCAGTTAATAAAAGAGAACTCTGTAAGAAAACAAAATGAAAATCAACTAAAAAAAAGATAAAAAAGATTACATGAAATGTTTTAACACGATCTGTTTCATAATATCGCTCTTGTTTCGCTTTATCAATATATTCACGTCGACGTTCAGCGGCTAATTTTTCCTCTTCAAGATCTAATACTTTTTTTCTTTCTTCTGCTTCTTTATCACGAAGTTTTTTCATTTGAAGTTTACGTTCTCGATCACCCTTTCAAAATAAAATAAAATCTCTAAGTATTTTTTTATGTTAATCTTGTATTTACAGCTATTGTATTTGGCCAATTTTTGGTTAATTGCATTGAACGTTGAAGTAAATCATTTTTTCTTTCCATCTCTTGTTTAATAGAATCTTTATCACGTTGACGACGTTCTAAATTATCATAGATTCGAGTTAAATCACCTTTTGTTAATATACACATTTGATTAAGATTTGCTGAATTTGCTAATTGATGTTGCTCTGAACGATGATCTGGTGGACATGACACTAGAATTGATTAAAAGAAGAATAATGATTTTATACAAATTAACAAAAAAAGAGATTATAAACCAGATTGACTATGTCGTAATATTTTTCTTGACGCAAATTGAGCACTAACATCAGGTTTAGTTGAAGGTACAGGTAAAATTTTGATTACCATAATTGAAACCTTAGATGAATATAACTATGTATTTTTAGCTAAAAATATTTGTTGTGAAAAACATCAGAAATCGCCATTTTTTTTGTTTTTGCATTGGATAACTAAGCAACGTTAAGTAGATTCATTAAGTCGTTGAACAATGATGAATGATTTTCAAAAAACCTTTGCTATGTAGTATTGAAAGCATTACAAGAGCTATGATAGTGTTTGATCATTGTTTCATATGATATTTCGTTATATGTATACATCTAGCGTCCTCTTTCAAATTTTGACATCGAGTACTTCGGAAAATATGATTCAATCAAGATGAAAACAAGTTGGAAGTTAATGAAATCATATTTCAAATGGCATAAGTGATAAACCTATTATATATTATTGACAATCAAACAGTTCTATCTATAGAAATATGTACTCACTATATAGCTCTAAGGCATTTTAGACAATTGAATTGTTATATTATCACATTTCTTTTTAGGATTCAAAAATATTTATATATATGTATCATTGTCTATTGTATGTGTGCATGTTTAAGTTCGAAAATAAACTTTTTTTAGAAAAGTTGCATGCTAAGAAATAATTGAGCAAACAATTGTAAAAATGACATGCTTGGCAATAGAAAAGAATTTTTCTTCTCGGCATCCGTTTTTATTATTTATAAGGCAACATATATTCCAGACAAAATAAGCTTCGTGTTTGAAAGGTAAATAACTTTTATTTTGATACAATATAGAAGAATCGATGGTAAAAACAAACCGGTATGTCTACAGTTGATGTAACGAATCTTTGAAGTTTAAAGAGTGTATGAAGAATCGTCTATTATTAATCTTCCGCTAACAATAGTTTTCAGCATGAACTAAAATAAGCGCAGACTCATTACTTCAATAGTTCTTAAGTTATTTTTAGATTGATAGATAACAGAAGTGGTGTTTATACGATTACATATTTCAAAAACTGTATTATAATGTCAAAGTAATTATTGTAAGTTCCGTCTCTAGAGATAGTTGACATTTTATTACGTTAAAAGATTTTGAGAATAATTATTCCTGTGACTAAGTTTAAAAGATAGAAGAATGAATGAATTCATACTTTTTTTTTGAAACTTATTTTAGACTACTTCGTCAGTTATATTCTTAATGGACACAGTCACAAGATTACAATCAATTCCATTGTTGTTCTTTATACAACTGATATATTCATGGATTTTGACCAATGTATGTATTTCATCCTCGATATAAATAACGAGATCTTTAACGATTTATTCAATATTTACTGAATATAATATTTTTTTGCCACAAAGAAAACTACAAACACAACGAGCTTTTGAATAGTTAAACAACACTAGATGTTTTTTTTTGTAGAAACTTCTTTTATTTGTGAAGCACGTGAAGAAGCCATATAAATGAATGCGATCAAAATTTTACTTGAAAGAAAAATAGGTCATTGAATCAAAATATAAACTAAGAATATTTCAATCTTATTATCATATGTATTTAATAGTACAAGCATTCGTACTTTTTTTTACTTCAATACTTAATTAAGTTTTTAACTCTATAGAAAAAAATCTTCTTGTTTGAAATTAAATTTGATTATATTGATAGATAGCGTCCTCTTCATTATATAGATTTGTTATAATATTTTTTCTTATTAAAATACAATTTAATTTATTATCAAAATATTTCAAATAAATCTTTCGTCTTTTATATTATTGACTATTTCTATCGATAAACAGATGACACTAGTTGTAGTTAACTGCTAATCATTGGCTTCTTCTCATTACGGTAAATAAATTTTGTTTGTTGTTAAATGAGCTGCATTTTATCCATTATTGTTTGTCTCAAACTTAAATGTAATTTTTAAATTCTATACTTGTCATTTCTTGTTTTAGAACTATTGTCGTGGAAAATAAGAAATTACTGATGGCTTCACCTACTCAGGAAACCATCAAAAATGAGCCATCTTTACCTAGTTCATCAAATTCTGAACAGTCCACAACAAATACAACTATAAAAAAAGAACTTAGCAATTCTATAATAAAACCAGAAGATGAAACATTTGAACAATTTTATTCCGAAGTAATCGATTCATAATATGAATTATTATTAAATATATATATATATATTTCTCAAATTTGTATAGGTCAAAGCAATAGAAAAACGTGATTCAGTTTTAACACCAGAACAACAAATTAATCGACTTCTACGTCCCGGTGCCACATATTTTAATCTTAATCCATTTGAAGTATGAAAAAAAATCATTTTATTGACATTTAGAATATAATTTCATTTTTTATTTATCAGGTACTTCAAATCGATCCAGCAACACCATTTGAAGAACTTGCGAAACATTATCGAAAGGTAGGAAAAAAACTTTTCTTCTATTATTTATTCTTAGTTATTATTTAGTTATCAATGCTTGTTCATCCAGATAAAAATCCTACAATGACTGATCGTGCATCACTTGCTTTTGAAGGTATGTGTATTTAAATTTTAAAATAAGTTTAACAGTCTAGACATTATCCTATACAAGGACATTTTCAATGTCATTTAAGCAATGATGTTTTCGTAAAATTTAAAATATTATCTGATTTTTATTCATTAAATTAATAGTCTCTTTTCTGAAAATATTCAAATAATATCTAATCAGATCGAACTCATTCCATCGGATCTGATAAAAATTGTCGGCATCCTTGGCATTCGGTTCTAACAGGAAGTAATCGGATGTTGTAATAATCACGACCCTATGGGAACGCCCAAAAAATCTGGCACTTGCCGACATCCGGCAACTTCCTATCGGAATTTAATATCAAGGATACCAACAATTTCCATCGGGTTATTCGGTCTAAATGCCTTATGGCATTGTATTAAATTCAATTGATTAATATTAGCTAAGATTCAATTAACACTTCGATGCTATTTAATAATATAAATATTAAATTATATGATTGTAATCTTCCCTTCCAGTAATAATCGAACTTAGCAGTTTAATATAGCTCATTATAAAAAATCCAATATCTAGAAGAATGACTATTCAGAACTTCTATTTTTATCTTTTATTAATATATTGACAATTTCTCAAAAGCATTTCATCGCTTTATTTTCTATTAGAAATAAGGAAATCAAAAAAAATCATATTTCATCTAATTAAATATTTAACTTGTAATATATATATTTATTTAGCAATTAACAAAGCATATAAAATTCTTGAAGATGAAAAAGAACGTAAAAAATGCCTTGAAGTTGTCGAAGAAGCTCGAGAACGTGTGGACAAAATGGTAAGTTTAAATTCACCTAATTTTGATAGTTTTTCGTTTCCCTCTCTTTCTCTGGTATTTTATCAAAAAAAAAAAAAAACATTGTTTTTTCTTTCTTCTTCATTAAATCAGAGAGACTAAGAAATAAAATCGCCAGAGCGATAGGTCCTGTTTTGCCCTCCTTCTAGTGTGCATTCTACAACGAACTGTTTTCTTCAATCATTCAGCAAATCGGGTGAGTTACAAAATTTCTTTTTAATTATTATTATTTTTTCATATTTTAATCGATTTGAATATTCTTTGTGTTTTTTCTATATATATTTAGATTCAAGAAAAACGAGCTAAATATAAAAATCAGCCAATAGAAGAAGATACTCCTGATGGAGTAAGAATATCTTTTCTTTTTTTTCGAATATCAATTTAAATTTATTTTAGCTTAAAAAAGCTCTTTGGTCGGTGACATGTAAATTATTTGCAGATATTGAACGATTGCGTGTTCGAGAAGAATCAAATAAAGCGGAAGAACGAAAACGTAAAGCTGAAGAAACAACTGATCGTGAAGAAAGAACGAAATTACGTAAAGAATGGGATAAAAATTATGAAGTAGGACTAAATTTATAATTAAAATTAATCCTCTTCCTTTTTTTTCGGTTTGTTTAGGAAAGTCGTGAAACACGTGTGAATAGTTGGAAATCATTTCAAACAGTTGCTAAAGCAAAAGATCCAGTTAAAGGCAAAGGACCTGCTCTATTCAAACCACCCAAATATAAACCAGAAGGTCGATAAAAGAGGAAAAACAATTCTATTGACTTTTTTCGTCTCTGTAAATATATATATTCATTAAGAAGACAATGTTTGTCTATGTTTTGTCTTGTTTGGTTTTTTCTTTTGTTTGTTCTATATGATTAAACAACGAAAGAATTTATTCTTATTATTTACCTCGGTTTTTTTTTGATCTAATCAAAAAAGAAAAGATTTAAAAAAAACGTTAATTATTTACATAGAAATTCAAGTCTCTTATTATTTCTTTTTCAGATATGATTCTAGTCCGGTGATTATACTCAGAGAATGATGATTAATACATTTTATACAATTGTAAATCAGATGTGGTAAGTGAATCATTTTTATATTTATTTGGTAAAGAAGAATTGTCATATAAAATTATATATTTGTCGTAACGCATCGAGAATGAAGTGGCAAAAGTAAAGGACAGATAAAAAAGAAATTTTTTTATGATGCCTACCGTCTATATGAATATAGTTTCGTTGATGTTGTATGTAGTCATTTTCTTTTCTATATTACTATTTTTTAACAGCTTACTCAACTGATAAAAATGATATACTTATCACTTCGCATTCTTTTTATTCATTTGTTAGAAGAATATCTCGTGCGTTTGTCTTTCGTCGGACATATACAATTGTTTTTCCACTCAATGTAATTAATAATTATTATTCGGCATAAGTACCCAGCATAGTTCACCTGATACATACAATTTTTCAAGGTCAAATAGGATATAATCACGTATTACTAATATTTTTCGTTTAATTTATTTTTCAAAAAAAAAGAAATGAAAACTTAATACTATTGTCTACATTCTAATTTAAAATTACTGAAATTTAATCGTAGGTGAATATAAATATGTATCTTGTGTGACAAAATAAACCTTGAAATTTAAAGAGGAATAGATGGCAAATATTGACACACTTTTGAATATAGCTAGTTGTTATTTTATAGGGGATATATTTTTCGACATAAAAGATGTTCTTTTTTTTCTTCTTCAATACTATGTAATTAAATTAAGTTAGAGAAGAAAGTTTTTAATAGGTGTCACAGAAAGCATTAATATTTTACATAAAAAGTCTCGTATAATTTGACTGCAAGGTTATTACAAAAAAAACCATAGGAGTTCGATAAAAGTCACCTGTATTTCTTACTAGCGACTGTTCATATAACAACATTCACGATAATAGGTCTGTATATATATATATGTTTTGAAGCGTCGCCATGCGAGACTTTTCTGAATGACGTAGAACGAAAAAAATTCATGACAATCACTCTCTCTTTCCTCCTTTCTATCGCCATAATAAGTTGTTTTGGTTACATTAAAATTCTAGGCACATTGTAATTTCCCATATACATATATTTATTTTTCTTTTCTTATTCCAGAGAAATCCTGTTGTTCAATTGTGTGATTTCTATTCGATAATTTAATAATGATATGCTCATCGTCAAATCGTCGTCATATAATTCATGTTTGTTGTTTTATTATTTTTATTTCTATATTCGAAATTCTATCCGGTGCAGTAGATATATATCCATTTAATAAATTATCTTCAAGTATAATTGTATTCATAAAAGATCCTATTGAATATTATGGTTTAACACTCGCAATAATTATTTATTTTGTACGCATATTATCGTTATTACCATTGCCATTAGTTATATGTCATACATGTGGTTTAGTTTTCTATAATATATTTCCTGAACGACCAGAATTACATAATTCACCATTGTTAGGACCAAAAATTCGTATACGTGTTGTAACACGTGGTGATTATCCTGAATTAGTACATACAAATGTTAAACGCAATTTAGATACATGTGCAAAAGTTGGTTTAGATAATTTTCAAATTGAAATTGTAACTGATAAACCAATAGATATTCATGGTTTACCAGCAAATATGGTACGTGAAGTTGTTGTACCAAGTACATATCGAACAAAAACAGGTGCACTTTATAAATCACGTGCATTGCAATATGCATTAGAACCTGATGTTAATCAATTAGCAGCTGAAGATTATATTGTACATTTAGATGAAGAAACATTATTAACAGAAAATTCTGTTCGTGGAATATTAAATTTTGTTAATTCGAATGAATATGATATTGGACAAGGTTTAATAACATATGCAAATGAAACAATCGTTAATTATATAACAACATTAGCTGATAGTATGCGCGTTGGAGTTGATTTAGGATGTTTAAGATTTTGTTTAAAAAAATTACATCGACCACCATTCTTATTCAAAGGTTCATTTGTTGTATGTCGTGCTAGTTGTGAACTTGAAGTTTCATTTGATAATGGACGAGCAGGTTCAATAGCTGAAGATACCTATTTCGCAATGTTAGCAATGTCAAAAAATAAGAAATTCGGTTGGATTGAAGGTTTGTTTAATATAAGCGTTAACCGAAAGCAGAAAATATTTATTATTCTTTATTTCTAGGTGAAATGTGGGAAAAAAGTCCATTTACATTAGCAGATTTTATTAAACAACGTAAAAGATGGTTACAAGGAATTTTACTTGTTGTACACGATAACCGTTTACCATTACGTGTTCGATTATGTTTAGGTATTGCACTTTATTCATGGGTTACATTACCAATAACATCATTAAATGTTATTCTTACACCACTTTGTCCTATACCATTACATTGGACATTAAATTTTTTAATCAGTTATGTTGGCGCTGTTAATGTTTATTTATATATAATTGGTGCAGTACGTTCATTTTCACTAGTACGTTTAGGTTATCTACAATTTACAATTCGAATACTTGGAACATTAGCAACTATTCCATTTGTTATTGTATGCGAAATAACAGCGGTTATATGGGGACTTTTGAGTGATAAGGGAAAATTTTATATTGTTGATAAAAACTTAAAACCACCGGTTAATGTGTAATGATAATTAGAGATATTTTTCGTTAGAATTTACTTTTTTTTGTTTTTAACAGATAATCGATGAATCACATCGGCAATCTTCTTTTCTTTGGGTTCTTTTTTCTTTTTTGTGTTGTTCATGTTTCTTTTTTAAACTACTGCTTTATTGTTTGTCAGATGATCCTTATTTGTGGATTTACCTTATTTAGAATTATATATATAAATATAAAAAAGAAAAGATACTTCTTTATTCACACGCATTTTTTGTTATTTATGATATATATATATATATAAATATATTTGATTTTTAGATTTCTTTATATAATAGATGAAGGAATGTTTTATCATGTTTTTTTGATCGAAATGATTGACAGTTAATATTATTGATTGCTATCATAAGCACAGACTTATTTTCTGTTTTACTCATTTTATGTTTATATATATATATTTTTTTTCTTGTGATTTTTATGAATTAATAATTAATATAAAGAGAAATCAATTTATCTTCAGGTTTTTTTATTTGTGTTATTGTTCTGGCCTCGACTGGAACAAAGACTGCTGTAAAAGACGACCAGTCATCGTCTTCTGCTGGTGCTGGAGGTATTAAATCAAAATCAAGTTCGATGAGTTCGTCAGAAGAAGGTATAGAAATAAATCTTGATCGTATGTATATATTCTAAATATCTTTTTTTCGAAATCAGTTTCATGGATTTCATGGTTCTGCGGTCTTCGTGGTAATGAATTCTATTGTGAAGTTGATGAAGATTACATACAGGATAAATTCAATTTAGTATGTCATCTAGAAAATAGAGAATTCTTTTTTTTTTTTGTTATTCAATCAAATATTTTTAATAGACAGGTCTTAATGAACAAGTACCACATTATCGGCAAGCTCTTGAGATGATTCTTGACCTTGAGCCTGATAATGAACATGAGAAACAAGATAATCCAAGTCAATCAGATTTAATTGAACAAGCTGCTGAAGTTCTCTATGGTAAAAATTCAATAGAATGGAGAAAAAAAAACAACTAAATAAATTATTTCTCTAATAGGTCTTATTCATGCTCGCTATATTCTTACTAATAATGGTATAGCTCAAATGCTTGAAAAATTTCAAAATGGAGATTTCGGTCTATGTCCTCGTATATATTGTGATAATCAACCAATGTTACCGGTATGAAAGATTGTATTTTTGTTTTTTTTTATATAAATTTTTTATTGAATCATAGATTGGTTTATCTGAAATGCCTGGTGAAGCTATGGTTAAACTTTATTGTCCGAAATGTATGGATGCTTACGTACCGAAAAGTTCTCGACATCATCATATAGATGGAGCATATTTTAGTACAGGTTTTCCGCATATGTTTTTTATGGTTCATCCTGAACATCGACCAAAACGACCAACAAATCAATTTGTTGCTCGACTTTATGGTTTTAAAATTCATTCAATGGCTTATCAATTACAATATCAAGCAGCAAGTAATCTTAAACAACCGAATTCAGGTGCAGTCATTCCAAGTGCTGGTGCTGCTGGTGCAGTTGGTGGTGGTGGTGGTACTGGCGGTGGCGGCACAACTACAACCACTACTCGTCCAGTTATTAAGGATTGATTTAAATAAAAATTATGTCGATTTTTTTTTTTGTCGAATATGAACAAAACAATTGATTTCTATGTACTATTACTAATACATTATTCTCATTTGTTGATAACGTTATTAGTACTTATGCTATGTATATGTCTTTCGTTCAATTCTTTTTTTTCTCCTTTTCTTTAAAATCATCAACTAAAATCGCACGACGACATAGTAGAATTTGATAAACTCAAATTTTTCACTCGTTCATAATTTTATTTTTGATTTAATTCAAAATAGCAAAGAATTTGGGATTCGAAATTTTCGATTGAGTTTGAATGAATTGATTTAATAATAAAAAAAACTAATTACATCGTTTCAGAAGTAGAAAATTTACTTTTGTTAATAGACACTCCTTTGAGTTAAAATCAATATTTACCTATCGGCAATTATTTGAAAGTTGAACAGAATTTTAATTTTCTTTTTTACTCATGATATATCACTATTGCATATATGCAAAGTACTCTTAATCCTATTCAAATAGATTAATATATATTACAAAACACACATATTGTAACAAAAAGAAATATAGATTTTTTCTTAAATTACTGAATTATTATAATCTAGATAAGGTAGTCATTTTTGTGTAAATATTTTTCAAAAGCGTTTAATTCAGTCTAAAATATAGATAGATATTTATGATACTACATGACTGTAGTAACAGCAGTGTTCTTCTATTTATATGACATTTGAATAATACGAGTCTTATATTCATCCTGCTAACTATATTTCTTTTTCATTTGATAAAGATATTAATCATATGACAGCTTGAATATAATCATCAGCTTAGTGTTGACGTTATATGTTATTCAGCCAATGCATCATAAACAACTTTAGTATAAGATTTTCTATACCTATTTGCTATTTTTAATTAACATATATATCCTTAAGATATGTAACATCTATGACATCTGTATTCAAGGTCAATGATTACTGATACAGGTCATTTCTTTCATAACATTGGAAAGTTTCTGATTGTTCGAATTCTTTGCATTATCATCTGGCATTTGCAAACGAATCTCATTTAATGGAATCGAAATAACTCGCCATATTAGATATACAAATATAAATAATTATGTTTTGAGAATTTATCAGATAAATTTCTTTGACTCAAGAAAAATAACGGATTTATAATTATTTATGTAAAAGAGAAATAAATATTATCGAGACAATAACTAATTAATAATAATAGAGATTAGACAATGTTTCTATCACTTATCATTTACCATGTATACATATACGGGACGTAAAACTTATCTATCATTCAGATAACGATACAATTTTCAATGTTATTTAGAAATTTAAAGCTCTACTGTTTCTTTTAACATATTCTAAATACTTTTGTTATTTGATATCGTAATAATAAATATTTTAATAAGATAATTAAGTATAGCTCTAGTGATAACTAATAAATATCCAAATGCTCTATCATCTGTTATTAATCAAAATAATAATACAAAGCAGACGAACGACTAATTGTTGTATAAAAAAATTACGGTATTATTCTTAGAATGATATTTTACATAGTCTATTAAAATAATCAGAAAATTGAATTTTAAATCAAAATTTTTAGAAGTATAGTTAGTAATTGATTAAAATAGATCAAATATGTCATGTTGACAATGGAGAAACAGCGATGATTTCGTACTCTTCTGTACTCCCACAATACTTTAATGTTTTCTTTTCGTACTTAAAAAAACTTTGGCGCAGATGAAGTCTCTTTTTTTGTCCCTTGCATTTTTTGCACTAGAAGGCAAGAAAAATAATGCATATGTCGTATTTTTATTTCTTACAAAATGTACAGGTGTTGTAAATAATGCACAACACAATCATCACTCGTATTTCAGCTGTAATCGAAACAAATTATTTACAGATAACATATACAATTAGAAATGACAGCGACAAGATGTATTGTTTTTGATGACTGATAAATTATATGATATAAGAAACCAGGTTTCTACTGTAGTTTTCTTTTGTCAACAGAAATTGGCCTATTTTAATGGTACTTAATGAGACAAATATAAAACATTTGCATCTACAGTCATCAATCAATATCATTTCGTAAAACCATGTGTGAATAGGTTTTGAGAATCAATTCGATATTCTATATGATCTGAATTAATAGCTATTTGACAACTTCAATCAATTATTAAAACTCTTCCGCTACAAGATTATCGGAAAAAAAATTGCAACTTATTTTTTCATAAAAAACTGACATGAGACGTGTGTATCTTAAACGAAACAGCAAATTCTATAAGATTACACAATCAAGCAAAATGTCAAAATATATATATATGTTTCTCGTTACCTAGGGGTCAATGATAATGCTCAGGGTTGCTTAGTACTATAGTGTTGTTTGTTACTCGTAATCATATAAATTGATTGTCTTCAAACAATACTATGTGTCCTAATTCTCGATAATATAAAAATTCCATATTTTCATAATACAGTTAAGTAATCTATTACGTTATTCATTTAAATATTTATTCTACAAAAAAACTTCAGAAGTTTTATAAGAATAGAATATTTATTATTTTTTTCATGACACACATTATTTTGTATTCATTCGTTACATTTACGTCTAGATGGCATTAGTATATGACTGTTTATAATAGTCAAATGACTTTTGCTGGATTGTCAGCCCACCAACGGAAATAAAGTGAATGTCTAATATGTTTATTTTCTTCTCGTTTTTTTTTATCGCACTTCTCTTTCTCAATATTAACTTCTACTATAAAGAAACGAATTTTTATCTTTTTAGAAATAATCTATCGATTCGAATCCATTATTATATTTCCCTAATCAATCAATGAATATACCAGTAATATCTACAGCAAATCATTCAATTCCTTCTCAAATCCCGCCACCACCTCCACCATTAAATGGTGCTCGAAATTCATTAACATCTAATATTCAACCACGTAGCAATATACCTGGAAAACATTGCTGGGTTTGTTTTGCTACAGATGAAGATGATTTTCAAGCTTGTTGGGTATCACCATGCCGTTGTCGTGGTACAGCGAAATGGGTTCATCAAGAATGTCTTCAAAGATGGGTAGATGAAAAACAACAAGGATCAAGCGGAGGTCAGTTAATTATTTTTTTCTTTCTCAATTTTTGGGAAAATTTCTTTTTGCATTTAGTTAAAGTTGTCTGTCCACAATGTAATACAGAATATATTATTGTTTATCCTAAACAAGGTCCATTAGTTTATACACTTGATTTAATAGAACGTATTTTAAATCGATTTTGTCCATTTCTTGCCGGTGGTATTCTTGTTGGATCTGTTTATTGGACAGCGGTTACATATGGTGCAGTTACAATTATGCAGGTAAAATCATTGGTTCTATTCTATTGAATGTAATTAATGAAAAAAATATTTCAGATTCTTGGACATAAAGAAGGTTTAAGTGTAATGGAAAAAGCTGATCCACTTTTTCTTCTCATTGGTTTACCAACAATTCCAATTGTTCTAATTCTTGGACGAATGATACGATGGGAAGAAGCTGTATTGAAATTCTGGCGTAAACATTCATCAAAATTACCCTTAATGAATTATTTATTTCCTAATGGTAACATCAGATTTTTTTCAATTACACACAACAATTAATATTTCATTATAGATCGTACGCCATATTTACCTCGTATTCCAACTGAACGTAATGGAAATTCTAATCCAGCATCTTTAACAAGACTTATTTGTGGTGGTCTTATATTACCAACAATTGCTACGATATTTGGAAAATTTATGTTTCAACGTGTTCATTCGAATTTTCAACGAACACTTTTAGTATGTGATGAAGAAGAGAAAAGATAATAATGAAATCATTTATTTTATTTTATAGGGTGGCATTGCATTTATTGTTCTGAAAGGTACAGCAAAAATTTATTATAAACAAAGTCAATATATTCGTGAAGCACATCGAGAAATTCGTAATTATGAATCAACAACTACTAATTTACCAACTCATCATCATCATTCTGTTCCACCCCCACCACCACCACCACCTCGACCAGCAACTGTTGAAGCACAACAACAACAACAAAATTCGAATGAAATATTCGTCATCTCATCATCACCATCAACGTCGTTAACAAATGCTGAATCACCATCGGACTTTTAACTATGAAAAAAAAAATTTTGATCTTTTTTCTTTTTTTTTGTGTATAATTCTTATATGAACATTTGAATTTTTTTTTCTTCTTCTTTAAAAAAATTTTGATCAGGAGAAAACAGAAAATGTTATTATTGTTGTTTTTCTTTTTTCATCTAACTTCTAGTTTGAATATACATATACATATATACATATTATTTAGGAATTTGATATAATGACAGCAACAAATAATATAGACAAAGTCAAAACTTATTTATTAGCTGCAAGTGGACGACGAACTATACGAAATACACCATGGATAGATGATATACCATCGGAAAGTTTTACTTTACCGAAATATGAGGTGAGTTGCTTTTATAGTTATTGAAGAGGATGATGAATGGTTATAATCATATGTTGACGACTGTTTTATTTCTCCGAAAAATTTATTTAATCAGATTTGACATACTACTGTCATATACAAATAAATGAACTTTTGTGGAAATATTAACAAAGGCAGATGTTTTTCTTTTGAAAGATATTTATAGGAACATCAGTACACTCGGAGATATGAGTGCTGTTTTTAATAAATAAAAAATTAATTGCTTTATGTTTTTGATGCAAATAAAATTGACAAAAAAAAATAAATATTTATAAAAAAATTTTTCTATTAAAAAGCTTTTAACAGTTATCAGTATGGTTTTACGGATATTTATCTATTACAAATATCTACTATGTAAGGCACTATGGTCAAGGTGATAGCACTCAAAAGTAATATGACTCATTTTTCTTTTGTTCTTCTACTATCAAAATAATTGATGTATGAATTAAAACCGGCAAAGGTCATGATAGTTTCGTTAGGCTTTAAAAAAAAACAATTTTACATAATACAAAATTTATAAATATTTTCTTTAGGTTGAAGCTCTTGATAAAGTCAAACGTGAAAATACTGTAGTCTGTTTACATAGTAATACATCGAAAAATTTTCTCATTATAAATGTCATACGAGAATATTCTTATGGTATTAAGCAAAATTTGGAACAAGGCGGTCAACGTATTATTTGTCTTACTATGGGTATAAAAAAAACATGAATTTCACATTTTGTATTTATAATTTTTTTGTTTTATGAATATAGAACAAGATCCTGTTGCATTAGCTGAAATGATTCATCGTCATTTACCAGTTGATGTTGGTTCATTCGGTATTGAACATGGTGTATTACTATGGAAAAAAGAACAATGGCACCAAGAAATGCAAATACGTTCTGTATTTGTTATGCATCCAACTGTTTTTCATGAATTACTTAATCGAAATTATATAGAATTTTCACATATTAAACTGTTAATTCTCGATGAATGTCATCAAGCTATTCGTGATCATGCATATGGATCAATTATAAAACAATATAAAAATCTCTGGGATCAAAAAGATAATAACATTCCATTACCTCGACTTTTTTCAATAACAACTGCTTTACTTAAAACTTATTGTACATCAGTTCAATTGGAAGAACGTATTGAAAATTTACATAATTTTTTTTGGTAAATTAATTATTAATTTATCTTAAATTATATATATATACATTTGAATTATTTTTAGTTCAACTATTTTTACTGCAACAGATCTTATTTGTCGTCAATCAAATCGTTTATCAAAAATACCAAAAGAAACAATTGTTATTTGTGAAAAAAATAATCAACAACAACCGGAAATTACAATTGAAATAATACGAGTAAGAATAGTTCTATAAATTAATACATGGAATGTTGAACAGAAGTGCTTAGAATATATAATGATGTTATCATACAGAGGTCAAACGAGTTTGAAGTTTTTCGACAAATTGTAGCTTGTAACTATGTGCTTTCTTTTCTTGAGCATCACCAGTCGACTCAGTACAGTCCAAAGTACCTATTAGAACAATCAAAAGCAGATGATTACAGTTTTTAGGTAGTTTTTCGCGAAAACTTAGATATCCATAAACTTTAAATTTGGAGCACATTTAATTTAACCTGTTTTTTTTATTAAAGGAAATTCATGCAGCACTTGCTTATTTAAATAAATTAGAAGCACCACAAATTTCATCTTCAACTAATTCCGATGAGAATTCATCACCATTAACAATTCCTCGTCAAGTTCTTACTGAATGTTTACGTCTAGTCGATAAATTAGGCATTTGGGCATTACTTCGTTCTTCATTACCAATAATAACTCAATTAGAACGTCTTTCAAGTATTGCTGTTGAACAAAGTTCTGCTTCATTTTCCTCAAATTCTTCTTCATCATTATCATCATCTCATCTTTCTCTCACATCACCACGTGCATACTCATTATTTCTTGATTGGATTTGTACATTACTTCGTTTTTGGAGATCACGTATTAAAACAGTCATTGAAACACTTGATTCTCAAACATTAATTGAACAATATACAACATCAAAATTACGTTCATTATTTGATATATTAAAACGTTTTCAATCCGATGCAACAAGTACAGTCTATCGTCGATGGTCAGCTTTAATATTTGTTGATCGTAAACAAGAAACAGCTGTACTTAATGCAATATTAAAAGATGCAGCAAAACGTTTTGCTGATGAATATTCATTTATTCGACCGAATTTTTTAATTGGATATTCAACAATGCAAACAACAGATGATCTATCTACTAGTCAACATATACAGCCGATGGATAGTCGAAAACAAGTATAGAAAAAATTAAATCTTTAACACTTCTTATTTTTTTTGTTGTTTCAAGGAAGAAGTTATGCGTAAATTTCGTCTTGGAGAAAATAATATTATTGTCGCATTAAGTTCTCTTGAAGAATTAAAAGATATTCCAGATTGTAATCTAGTTATTCGATTTGATGTTCCAACGAATTATCGATCATATGTACAATCAAAAGTAAATGATTGTGACATAATTTGATTATAAAAATTCTTTTTTCGAATTAATTTTTTTAGAGCAAAGCACGAGCTCAATTACCACATTTTTTTATGCTTGCTGAACAAGATGAATATGATGCATTTTTAACAAATCTTAATTCTTTTAAAGGCATTGAACAAGTAAAAAAATATAAATATTAAAAATTCCAAAAAAAAAATCTATTCATATTTTTAAGGTTTTAACAAAAGAATTTCACGAAATTAATAATCCTCTTCCATCAATAACCATCGATCGTGATAGATCACCCAATGCTATTGAAGTCATCAATAGGTAATTTCTTAATCTTCTCGTTGAATATCAAAATTTATCTTCATCTTAAAGATATTGTGCTCGACTTCCATGTGATGCATTAACAACATTAGTACCATCATGTGAAATACAAAAACTTGATCAAAATCAATATCAATGTACCCTTTCATTACCTGTGAATTCACCTGCAAGAACAACTATTACTGTATATTTTTTTTGTATATTTATTTCATTGATTGACACTTGATTTTTAATTGAAGGGACCGATTCGTTCAACAATAAAACAAGCAAAACTTTCATCAGCTAAACGTCTTTGTGAACATCTGTTACAAGCAGGTTAATAGAAATATTTTTGTTGTTGTAAACATGAATAAAAATTTTATTTTTCTAGGTGAATTAAATGAACATTTATTACCTGAAACTCGTGAACAATTTTATCTTCGTCATTCTATTATTGACGATAATGATATTGCTGAATGGGGTTCATATGTTGAACCAAATCCAAAACCTGGATCAGTTCAACGTAAACAACTCTATTCTAAAGCTGTATATAAATTTTCGAATTTTTTTATATCGAAATCTATTTATCGATTTAAATTTAATAGATAATGCCTGAACCAATCACTACGAATAATTCATCTGATTTTTTTGTATATTGTATAAATGGTGAATTAACAACGCCATTAACTCAAACAAATGAACAACAAAAACCAACAAATATTTATACAAATTCATCGAATCCAAATCGAATCGGTCTTTTATCCGCAAATTATCTTCTTGAAGTAAGAAAGATTTTTATTCTCTTTCTCGTAGAGAAGAGTCCAGTAAACATAAATTGTCTGTCCGTAGGGTCAAAAAAACATTTCTAGAGGTATTGTAGAACACCATTTCTACGAAAAAGAGTCCTTAGACGAGCGTTACTTGTTTTTATATAAATATTTTAATTGATTTAGATTCCAGCATTTTCATTATTTTCACGTGCTGGTGAAGAAACTTATAATCTCGATATGATTATGAAAAATGTACATTTTAAATCAGATGAATATCGAATGTTACAAACCGTTCATTATTATTTACTTTCATCTATACTTGGTTTTGATCGTCCATTAGTTAATTTCAATCCTGAACAAACCCAATCACATTTAATTATAATTTTATTAAAAAAAGATTCATCAGGTTCATATACAATCGATTGGCAATTAACAAAAGATATTATATCATTTATTCAATCAATGTATTTACAACAATATACATTTGAGAATCCATATGTATTCAATGCAAATGATTTTAATCAAACATGTATTGTTTTACCATCATACCGCCGTTCAACTCAACCACAATATTATATTGTCAATTCAATTGATATGAATAAAAATCCGCTATCACCATTTCCATCTATATCAACAATATATGATACATTTTCATCCTATTACGAAATAAAATATGAATTACGTTTAACAAATAAAACTCAACCATTATTATGTGTATCACATACATCACATCGTATGAATCAATTAATTCCACGTTATATGAATTTTAAAATTATGAAATCATCATCAGCTGTAACAACAAATCGTAATACAAATCGAACAAATCAACATACGAAAACAAATGGTACAACACATCATCATCATCATCACCATCATCATCAAGGTGTATTTTTAATACCGGAATTAGTTATTATACATCCAATAAATGCACAATTATGGCAAGGAATTATAGCATTACCTAGTATGCTTTATAGAATTAATTGTTTGATATTAGTGGAACAATTAAGACGAACAGTTGCATTACAAACAGGTGTTGGAGTTGCTTGGGCACCTGAAGATGGACAATTTGATAAATTAAGTTTTGATTGGGATGAAAAAAAAGAAGCACAATTTTCAGCTTTATTAGATAATAATGATGCATTTTTTACTGATGAACCAATTGATCCTAATTGGAATTTTGAAATAAGTGTTTGGAATGAAAATGATATACATAGTTGGACAAGTATAAAATTCGAAATTTAATAATTTCATATATATAATTTTTTTCTTTAGATGATTCAGCATGGTTAGAAGCAAAAGATCGTTGTATTATGATCAATGCTGTTGATGTAAGGAATTTAATTGAAGTTGAATTAAAAATAAATGATCTTTCCAAATTTAGTTTCAAGATCATGATTTTGATGATGATACGGATCTTGAGGATGATGATGAAGAAGAAAATCATCAGCATCCTTCTTCTACACAACAAAATGGTCGATCTACATCAAGTATATTGCTTTTTCCGAATTAAATAATTGATCATTAATTCCATATTTTCGATCTAGCTTGGTCAAATACTCCACAAAAGAAAACAAATGAATCTTCATCTTTAGATGACGATGATGATGATGATGACGAAGAAGAAGAAACTAATAAAAAACCAAATAATAAAAAACAAGAAAAAAAATCTGTAACAGAAACAAAAGTAGCAAATTATCATATTGATTTATCACGTTTACATGAAGATCTGAAAACGAAATCAAAAAAATTTCTTTCGAAATTAATGGCTAATACTCAACCATCGCTAAATTCACTTCGACATGAAGATGTTGATCTTTTTTCTTCCTATGAAATACCAACAACGAATTCTAAAAAACAAGTTTTTGAACCATCAAATTATTTAACTAATGTTCAAATTGAAGAACCAACACAAATATCTCAAACATCAATTTCTTCGCCTGTTATTCATTTTGAACCAACACCTTTAATTAAACGTTTATTAAATATAGATGAAGTTTTACATGATGATGAACAAATTGAAGAAAAACAAGAAATTAAACATCCATTACCATCTAAAACAAATATAATTACATTAGAAAATGGGCATGATAGTGGAATAATTGATGATTTTTCTGAACCATTGAATATCAATTTAGATTTTGAATATTTACCTGAATCTCATCCTGGTCCATCGCCAGCATTACTTTTACAAGCTTTAACATTATCAAATGCTGGAGATGGTTTTGATCTTGAACGTCTTGAAACAGTTGGTGATTCATTTCTTAAACAAGCCGTTACTGTTTATATATTTTGTACATATACACAAGTACATGAAGGAAAATTAAGTTTTTTTCGTTCAAAAATTGTTTCAAATTATAATCTATATAAACTTGGTAAACGAAAATCATTAGGAGAATATTTAATTAGTACGAAATTTGAACCATTTGAAAATTGGATTCCGTAAGTTTTCTGAAAACAAAAATACAAAAATTGATAATTTGTTTTTTAATTAGACCTCTCTTTACATCGGGATTACCAAATGAATATGGTTTATTATCAAGTTCAGGAGTCGAATTATGGACAAAATCTGAATCAACAACTAATGTTGATTGGATTGAATTACAAGAACGTCGTGAACAAAGAAGATTAGCAAAAAGTAATTTACAATCATCACCATCAATTCCACCAACACCGTTAACAATGTTGAATAATCAAGCAACACCAATTTTTCCACCACCACCACCAATAACAACACCAATTAATGAACAACAATGGACACCGTCGTATGATCGACGTACTCAACATTTAATATCTGATAAAAGTATTGCAGATGCAGTTGAAGCATTAATTGGAGCTTATTTAATTGCAAGCGGACCAAAAGCTGCTCTACGATTTATGGCCTGGCTTGAAATTCAAATCTTTCCTAAAATGAGACTCGGTTTGTAATAACACATTCTAAACACATGTTTCATAAAAAAAGTATTCTTTTTAGACGATGGAACAGAAATGACTGGTGAACTTCCACCACTATCCTCACCGGTTGATTATACCAATCCATCAGTACTATCAACAATACAATCATATGATTTTGATCGTTTTGAACAATTAATTGGCTATCGTTTTCATCAACGTGCTTATCTTATTCAAGCATTTACTCATGCATCATATTCTTATAATACAATAACAGATTGTTATCAACGTTTAGAATTTCTTGGTGATGCTGTACTTGATTATGTTATAACTCGTTATTTATATGAAGTTAGTTAATTCATCTTTTTGAAATAGATCAAAAAATAACAAAGTATTTTTTTTTCTATTTTTAAGCATCCAAAACGTCATTCACCCGGTGAATTAACAGATCTTCGTTCTGCTTTGGTCAATAATAATATATTTGCATATATAGCTGTTAAATATGATTTTCATAAATATTTTCGTTGTCATTCCAATGAATTATTTTTATTAATTGATAAATTTGTTCAATCACAAAAAGATAAATCATCATGGTGTGGTTTTGATGAATGTAATTTAGGTGATGATGATGATGAAAATGATGAATTTTTTTATTATGATTTTTTAACATCATCAGCATCAAATAATAAAGATACATATAGTAATACAATGTCATGTGCAATTGATGAAGAACATTTATCAACTTCACATGATGATGAACAAAATGATGAAACAACAAATGAGCCCGATGAATGGGAAGAAACAGAAGTTCCAAAATGTCTTGGTGATATATTTGAATCAGTTGCTGGTGCTATATTTCTTGATTCAAATAAATCGTTTAATACTGTATGGAAAATTTATTATCGAATGTTAAAACCTTTTATTGAAAAATTTACAACTAAAGTACCAAAATCACCTATACGTGAATTACTTGAACTTGAACCTGAAACAGTGGCTTTTGAAAAACCCGAACGTTTACTTGATGGACGAATACGTGTTACAGTTGAAATAATTGGTAAAGGACGTTTTAAAGGTGTTGGAAGAAATTATCGTATAGCAAAGAATGCAGCAGCTAAATGTGCTTTAAAAAATTTACGTCGTCTAGATTAAAATCAAGAATGTTTTAGTGAAGCAAAAAAAGGAAATAAAAACTTCTCAGATATTTATTTTACTATATTGTGATGCAATAGAATGAACCAGCGACACAATTTATTAGCATTTTTAAAATTTGATCATTATTGTTTTTCTTGTCTTACTGATAAAAGTGTTGTATGATTTTTATGGATTTCTTATAAATATATATAAAGACTTCTAAAATATGTTCAGTTGATTTTTTTACCTGTGATTTGTTGTTTTTATTTAAAAAGAAAAGTTTATTCATAAATTTTGTTATTTGTTTTGCATTTGAACAAACAGGACAGCATTGAAGAGTTTGTTCATTTGGAAATCCTACAGTATAATATCCTTCATGAAACATCGATAAATTTAGTTGACTTCAATTATGAAACGATTCATTAGATATTGTCTTCATGTATTGCCAATTATACATGCTCCAGAAACGTATATCAATCCAACCTGAATTGTTTATGATCTATAGGGTGTAGTTAGGATAAGAAACAACACACATCTACCCACACCCTCAATATTCTTTAGTCAAATGGATCATGAAGTCAAGTTCGAAAAAGTATTGTTGAAAAAGTTAACTCTCTGTTCTTATTCAGACACTCTTCATCAACAAAAAATTTAAAAAGAAATACTCATCCACATTGTATATATTATTTTCTTACCAAAATATACTAAACATATACATTAACGCCATCTTTTTGGATAAAAGTAATAACTTATTATTTAAATTATCACTAGTCTATTCTTTTAACGACCAGATGATTGTATCATTATCAAACCACTATTATCGAAGCATACGAAAATACTTTCAAGAATACGTACTATAAAAGCGATATCAAATAACATATTTTAAGAGTCTTCGTCAAAATCTAACAAAACCATGTGCACATTTCTTACATTACCAGTCGAGCTCGTTTATCGAATTCTGGACCATGAAACCGATTTTACTTTGTTTTGCTCAATGCAAAATGTCTGCCAACGATTCAATCAAATTCTTGATAGTTATCCGCGATATCAGGTAAGTTTTCTATGTAGTTTCAATACGTGATTATCATTCAATGAATTCATCAGAAGCTAACATAATCTATCAACTTAAAAGCATTTGCGGAAAACTAGTCAGTTATCATACTAAGTAATCTTTCAAAAAAGTCATGTCTTCCCTCTATTTTTTCTAATAATTATTTCGATAGAACTGCAATATACTCCCTCTCGGATATACGACCATTCGAGAATCGACGAAACATAGAATCAAAGAGAAAGTTCCTATTCTAGTGTTTCGACTGAGTTTTTGGCATAGCATTGACGACTTTTGTCTACTTTCGTACCAATTCAACAAAACACACTGAATTAATCATTCTGATAGTTAGACACCGAGGATGTGGGTGTGGCTATACATCTGGATGAAAAGAGTAATCGTCCCCACACACACATTTAATCACGGCAGCAGTCAGATCAGAGACAAAAAAGCATAACACCTTGCTGGTTCATTAAGAAACAGTACAGTAAATCTCATTCTCTCTTAAACTGTCTCAAATATGCATTTATCCTTTTTCACACAGACTCTCACCACACTTAATCTCTTCAACAATGATATCGGAGACAAAGGAGCACAACATCTTGCTGATTCATTAAGAAGCAACACAGTAAATCTCATTTATCTACAACTATCTCATACATACATTCACACTTTTTTACACAGACACTCACCATACTTGATCTCACATGCAATCACATCGGAGAAACGGGAGCACAACATCTTGCTGATGCATTAAAAAACAATAAAGTAAATATCATTTTTTCTTCAACTATCTCATACATACATTCACACTTTTTCACACAGACGCTTATAGTACTTGATCTCGTTGGCAACAAAATCGGAGACGAAGGAGCACAACATCTTGCTGATTCATTAAAATACAATACAGTAAATATCATTTTTTCTTCAACTATCCAATACACATTTACAGTTTTACACATAGACACTCAGGGCACTTTGTCTCGGATGCAACGATATCGGAGATGAAGGAGCACAACATCTTGCTGATTCATTGAGAAATAATACAGTATATATCATTCTCTCTTCAACTATCTCATTCACATATTTACACTTTTTCACACAGACGCTTATAGTACTTGATCTCCTTACAAATCAAATCGGAGACAAAGGTGCACAACATCTTGCTGATTCATTGAGGAGCAACAAAGTAAATATCATTCTCTCTTCAACTATCTTATTCACATATTTACACTTTTTCACACAGGCACTTACTACACTTAATCTCATCCACAATAAAATCCATGAGACGGGAGCACAACATCTTGCTGATGCATTGAAAAATAATACAGTAAATATTACTTTCCCTTCGACTATGTCATACAAATATTTACATTTTTTCACACAGACTCTCACCACACTTAAACTCGATCTCAATAAAATTAGAGAAAAGGGAGCACAATATTTTGCTGATTCATTAAGAAGCAACACAGTAAATCTCATTTTCTCTGAAACTATGTCATACAAATGTCTACATTTTTCCACCCAGACTCTCACCACACTTGTTCTCGAATGCAATCAAATCGGAGAGAAAGGAGCACAACATCTTGCTGATTCATTGAGAACCAATACAGTAAATATTATTTTCTCTTCGACTATCTCATACAAACATTTGCACTTTTCCATACAGACTCTCACCACACTTAAACTCGATTTCAATCAAATCGGAATCAAAGGGGCACAACATTTTGCTAGATCGTTAAGAAATAACACAGTAAATATTATTTTCTCTTAAATTGTCTCATTCACATATTTACACTTTTTCACACAGGCACTCACCACACTTGATCTCTCAAGGAATACACTTGGAGATAAGGGAACACAATATCTTGCTGATTCATTAACAAACAACACAGTAAATATTATTTTCTCTTAAACTATCTCATAAAAACATTTACACTATTTTACATAGACACTTACAACACTTGAACTTAGTTGCAATGAAATCAAAGACAAAGGAGCAGAACATCTGGCTGATTTGTTAAGCAATAACACAGTAAATATCATTTTCGCTTCAATCGTCACATACACAGATTTGCACTTTTTTCACACAGACAGTCATTCTACTTGATCTCAGCAAAAATTATATCGGAGAGATGGGAGCACAACATCTAGCGGATTCATTAAGAAACAATACAGTAAATATCATTTTTCTGTCAACGATCTCATACACACATTTACAACTTTACACATAGACACTCACGTCACTTAATCTCCACTATAGTCGAATCGGAAATAAAGGTGCACAACATCTTGCTGATTCATTGAGGAACAACAAAGTAAATCTTATATTCTCCTCA